GGGGTTTCACCATGTTGACCAGGATGGTCTCGATCTCTTGATCTCGTGATCCACCCGCCTCGGCCTCCCAAAGTGCTGGGATTACAGGCTTGAGCCACCGTGCCCGGCCGGTTTTTTTTTTTTCGAGATGGAGTTTCACTCTGTCGCCCAGGCTGGAGATCTCTGTAAAAAATCTCAGCTCACTGCAACCTCCGCCTCCTGGGTTCAAGCAATTCTCTGCCTCAGCCTCCCAAGTAGCTGAGATTACGGGTGCTCACCACCACACCCAGCTAATTTTTGTATTTTTAGTAGAGACAGGATTTCACCATATTGGCCAGTCTGGTCTCGAACTCCTGACAATGTGATCCACCTGCCTTGGCCTCCCAAAGTGCTGGTACTACAGGCATGAATCACCACAACCGGCCAGATGGATGATTTTTAAAGGCTGAAAAAGAAGAAGGCAAAGAAGACAGAGAAGTGTTATCAAAGAGTGGAGACAGCCGGACACAGTGGCTCACGCCTGTAATCACACTTCAGGAGGCAGATGCCAGAGGATCACCTGAGCAAAGGAGTTCCAGATAAGCCTGGACAACATAGTGAAATCCCATCTCTATAAAAAATTTAAAAATTATCTGGGTATGGGCACACATTGGTAGTCCTAGCTACTTAAGAGTCAAGAAGGATTGCTTGGGCCCAGGAGTTCCAGGCTGCAGTGAGCTATGATCACACCACTGCACTCCAACCTGGGCGACAGAGCTGTCTCAAAAAGAGAGAGAGAGAGAGAGCTAAGGATGAAAGCTGAATGACTGACCAGGGGCTAAGATCAGTGACAACCCCTGGCCTTGCCCTGGCTTCTAGGAGGTCAGGAGCTGAAGATGTTCTATCATTTCCATCTTACAGGTGCAGACGCATCACTTAGAGAAGACAGGTGGGGTGAGGTGGCTCACACCTGTAATCCCAGCACTTTGGGAGGCAGAGGAGGGTGGATCGCCTGAGGTCAGGAGTTTGAGAGCAGCCTGGTAAACATGACGAAACCCCGTCTCCACTAAAAATACAAAAATTAGCTGGGCGTGGTGGCAGGTGCCTGTAATCCCAGCTACCCAGGAGGCTGAGGCAGGAGAATCACTTGAACCTGGAAGGTGGAAGTTGCAGTGAGGTGAGATCGTGCCACTGCACTCCAGCCCAGGCAACAAGGGTGAAACTCTGTCTCAAAAAAAAAAAAAAAAAAGACAGTGACTCACTGCAGGCTTTCCAGAAGAAAAGCCAGTTGTGGCAGAGCATGTCTGTAGTCCCAGCTACTCGGGAGACTGAGACAGGAGGATAATTTGAGCCCAGCCTGCAGTGAACTATGATCATGGCACTGCACTCCAGCCTTGGAGCAAGACTGTCTCAAAAGGAAAAAAAGTGGCTGGGCACAGTGAAGCACACCTGTAATCTCAGAATTTTGGGAGGCTGAGGCGGGAGGATCACTTGAGCTCAGTTTCAGACCAGACTGGGTGACATAGTAAGATTCTGTCTCTACAAAAAATGAAATAATTAGCTGGGTGTGGTGATGTGCACCTGTAGTCCCAGCTACCCAGGAGGCTGAGAGACAAGGATCATTGAGCCTAGAGTTCGAGACCAGCCTGACAATGTAGTGAGGTCCCGTATACCTGTAGTCCCAGCTACGCTGGCAGCTGAGGCAGGAGGATCACTTGAGTCCAGCAGTGCTAGACTTCAGTGAGCCATGCTCGTACCACTGCACTACAGCCTGGGCAACAGAGTGACCCTCTGAAAAAAAAAAAAGAAAGAAAAAGAAAAAACATGCCAGGTGCAGTGGCTCACGCCTGTAATCCCAGCACTTTGGGAGGCCAAGGCAGGCGGATCACAAGGTCAGTAGTTCAAGACCAGTCTGGCCAATATGGTGAAACCCATCTCTACTAAAAATACTTATTAGCTGGGCATGGTGGAGCGTGCCTGTAATCCTAGCTACTCAGGAGGCTGAGGCAGGAGAATCGCTTGAACCCAGGAGTTGGAGGTTGCAGTGAGCCAAGATCGCACCACTGCACTCCAGCCTGAAGACAGAGGGAGACTCTGTATCAAAAGAAAAGAAAAAACCAAAACCCAAACAGAACCACTGAAATAAGATAGTTAAATGGGAAGGAGAGAGGGGGAGGTCACCTAAAGGAGGAGAGGAGCCTGCAAGGCAAACAGCGGGGCAGGGGGTTAAGGGGTGAGTGTTCCAGGCAGAGGGAACAGCAAGTGCAAAGGCCCAGAGGAGGAGGGACGCGTAGGCAAGAGGAACATCGAGGAAGCCTGGGTGCCGGGTGAAGAATGAGCAAAGGTGGGGAGATCAGGGAAGAGGGTGGGGCTCACTCCCAAGGGGCCAGCGGGTCTGGGGTTCTAGCCCAAGCACAGTGAAGCCGCTGGAGGCCTTTAGCACAAGAAGCTGATCTGACTTAGTTTAGAAAATTTAGAACAATCACTTTGGGTTTTTTTGGTTTTATGGAGACAGAGTCTAGCTCTGTCGCCCAGGCTGGAGTGCAATGGTACAATCTCAGCTCACTGCTACCTCCACCTCCCAGGTTCAGGCAATTCTCCTGCCTCAGCCTCCTGAGTAGCTGG